TTATGAAGCCAGAAAAATAATACAAAAAAACAAAACCCCTTGGATTCCCTCCCCTTAATAGGGGGAGCAATGCACAGAACCCCAAACCTGACTCAAAAGAAAAAGGCCAATTAGAGAAGATTACAGTTGCTTTTTTATGGTAGTGGACTTGGCAAATTGACTAAAGTTTACCACAGTAAAAAAATATATACAAGTACAAACAAAAGGAGGCAAGCAGTTCAAAATCTTGTGCATTTTTCAAGGTTAAATTGTTTTTATAATTTGTTGAAGAAATTGATCCAAGGGTTTATCTATCTTATGAGGTAGATTATCACTTCTGTCCAAGTTCAAAGTTTCATATTTCCCTTTCGAAGAAATCTGATACCATTTGAATAAGAAAGATGATAGAAAAAACTTTATTTGGTGAGGGGAAAAGGATATTTTTCAATCCTTTTGAATAAGGAGAAACAAAAATTGAAAAATCTTTAGAATCCAAGTTTGAACATTGAACAGCTATGGCATGCAGGACGACACACATCCTTTTACTAGAAGATAGTTTCATGTTCGGAACAAGACAAATCAAAAACAAATTAAAGTCAACCCCATGAAGAGATTGATGGATAGTTTATACACTTGGGGTTTTCTTTTAGGAAACTTAATTTTCTTTTTAATGACAATTTTCTCATCAGCCAAGCAAAGTACACAAGCATTTCGTGGAAGCACGTGCATGACCAAACTTGCATTATTGCTTAAAGCCAGCCTATGATCCTGACTAGTCAACCACTTCTTGGAATTACAGAAATGCCCTTGGTCAAAACCACCACAAGCAAAGCATGATCATTGATCATTGATCATTCAAGAATAATAATTTTGCCATTGCTCCAATCACTAGGCTGAGAAGAGAACCATAGAAAGAACATGGGGATCCCTTGCTTAGTGCTTACTTTCTGTCACTTTGTCTATGTCTATGCAAGCTATGATTGTTTGTTGAGGAAAGCTTTGTCAAAGTTGGGAGTATGAGCTTCAATTTGGCAATAGTAACAAGGAGATCATCACAACTTTAATTTTTTCCTTTTTTAATGCAATCATGGCTTCTTCAATTCATGTGGCTTCTTGATTTACATGGCTTTTTCTTCCCTTATTGTAGTAATGGAATCCATTAGTGATACTATGTCTTGGAATTGGAAAACAACATCCATGAGCCTGTTTTATTATAGAGGGCAATCGATCTTGGTTTTGGTCTATATGGATGTTCCATGGTTAGTAAATCTGATGTGGGCTGCTAGTTGATGCTTGATTCTTCATCCCCTCCCTTTTTTTTTTTGTTTATTGGCACCTGATGCTTGATTTAAAGAGCTTGATTAACATATCCAAGATTTTAAAGTTCTTGGCCACATAATACCAGAGCAATTTTAAAATCATAAATCTTAATCTAGTTATTTTTCGCAGCCACCAATCTAGACATGAAGATAAGCAAAATGTTATGATTCCCCAGCTACATAATCATAACAGTAATCTCAAAATGTCATAGCCGACAAATAACTGCAACTGAATTGAGTAATGCAACAGGAATTGCATACAGAAAGAAGCCAAAATATTGCATGTTGCATGTCAGTGTACAAAGTACTCACAAACCAAGTTTTTCGCTGCTGCAGGCTGAGGGAGACTGAATTGATGGTTCACAGAAAACCCAAATAACCGATTCTTCATGTTGTTTTCATCCTAGCTTCAGATTCTGTATTAGCAAAAAGAATATGAAGTTGATCATCTTAGTTAAAAATACAAATGGGAGAGAGCTTCTTCACATGGTTCTGTTTCGAGGCCTCAATCTTTTAACAATACTGTCCAGGTTAGTTCCAGAACTCGTGTGCTTCAAATTTCCCCCTGCTTCCTTTCCCAGTGAGGTATGGTTAACAGCCTTATAATCCGAAGTATTCTTGTTCATCCCTAACAACGCTTTCATGTCATTATCTGTGCCTTCTCTACGCCTTTGTCTTAACCTTCCAGCAATACTGTCTGCACTTGGTACAGAAGCAACAGTAAGTCTCTTCTTCAGCTTTGAACTACTCTCAGTTCCGATATTGCTTTCACCATGTTGGCTATCTCCTTGAAGCATTTGCTTCTCTTTTTCTGATTCATTTTCTGACAACTGCTCATTATGGTCTTTACCTTCCTTACGCCTTTGTCTTAACCTTCCACCAATACTGTCTGCACA